AAACGTGCTGAAAGCAGATTGCAGAACTAGATGTCAGCTCAATTTTTTCTAGGTCCCAACAAATCAGCCTGCCTGTCTGAAGTTGCAAGTGGAATATTCTAGTCACCGGGGGTGATTGGGGCTGGGTGGCCTTTCATTAACCCTGCATAGGGTCACTTTATCAAATACTGGCTAAAGAAAATGATTTAAAAAATGATAATAAAAAAAAACATTTTTAATGTATCAGTTACTGATTTATTAAAACACAAAACAGAGTGATCCACCTGACACTTTATTTGAAAGAAAACTTGTGCTTTATGGGATTTTAGCAATCGGACTAGTCTGGTTATTACACAATTAAGGAGGAGTTATACAGTCTTTGATTCCAGCAGCTGCATTTCTCCAGTTTAGTGTTTTTTAATAAGCAACAACAGGACCACTGCTGTTTTCTTTTGTTTTGACATCATGCTGCCATTCTAATTTGTAGCCATGGTTGTGGTGTCACAGCTAGGGTTTATGGATCTGTTTTTATGCACTGCAAAATTTCAGACTCGGACACAGTCCTTAGGCTTATGCTACAGCATCCATGTGGTAGACAAGAAGACTTTTCCCTAAGGAGTGAAATCCTAAGTTGATTTTATTACTGCTGAGCTTAGCGCTGGTTCTTCATTCCACCTGTTCATCACCAGTTCTGACTCTGCTCTAACATGCTACGCATCAGGACTCAAACACATAATGGGATGCAAGTGAAATAAAAAACATTTAAATGTGCATTTAAGCAACAAAAAGTAAAGAAGAATTGGTGATAAGGTAGGTTTGCACTTCCCATTCTTATGAGTCCTATGACCGTTTGCTGACACTGGTCCTCCCCTGCTGTAACTGGACTGTCAGTCCTTCTGTCTACCTGTCACTGTCCTCAAGCATTTGTGCACACACACATACACTGAAATCCATCATACACACACACACACACACACACACACACACACACACACACACACACACACACACACACACACACACACACACATATATATATATATATATATATATATATATATATATATGATGGATTTCAGTGTATGTGTGTGTACAGAAATGCCGTGAGTGATCTCATCCCTACAAGCTCGGGACTTCTACCAGAGGTCTGGGACCTTGAGGGTTCTGCGCAGTATCTTAGCTGTTCCTAGAACTGCTCTGTTCTGGACTGAGATGAGCCACCGATGTCTTCACTCTCCAGGCTTTCTCAAGTTCTTCTTTGAGGCCCCAGTATTTCTCTAGTTTCTCATGTTCCTTTTGTCCTGATGTTGACATCACTTGGTATTGTTACATCAACCACAACGGCTGTCATCTGTTGTTTGTCCACCAACACAATGTCCGGTTGGATTGCCATCATCATTGTGTCAGTCTGGATCTGGAAATCCCACATGAACTTGGCTCTCTTGTCCTCAACCATCTTAGGGGGTATTGCCCACATTGATTTTGGGGCTTCCAGTCCATACTCTGCACAGATGTTCCCGTACATGATGCCAGCCACTTGGTTGTGGCATTCCATGTATGCCTTCCCTGCCAGCATCTTACACCCTGTAGTTCTGTGGTGGATTGTCTCAAGGGCCTCTTTGCATAGCACTCAGACCTTGTCTGGTGTGGTAGATTTTGGCCTCTGGTGTTCAGAGCCTGTTCCTGTGCAGCCATGATGAGTGCCTCAGTGCTGTCCTTCAGACCAGTTCTGTCTAGCCATTGGTAGGATTTCTTGACAACAGCCACTTCAGTTATCTGTCTGTGGTACATATCCCATGTAGGGTTTGTCCTCCCATATATATATATATATATATATATATATATATATATATATATATATATATATATATATATATATATATATATATATAAAGAGTAGTAGTTCATTAAAACCAAGAGAATGCTCAGCCATTCTCCCTGACATTTTTCTTTCCTGTCAGTAGAAGACTGTGTTAACTCTCTTAGGTGCATTAACTTGAATGTGGTCAGCACATTTTTCAGAGGATTTAAATCTCTGTGAGCAAGCAAATCTCTTCCTTGCTTCCACTCTCTTCTCCCTCTTTTGGTCTCTGTTGGTTTAAAACCAGTGTACAGTTTAAATGTATGTTTGTCTGTGCTGCTGTTGGTATTGATGTATTCTGGCTGTGCTTCATAATCATATCAACATAAGAATATTTTATGAATTTCAGATAATTTTCTGGTGTAAACTCTTTTTGTTTGCACAGATACAGAGACACATTTGGCTCTCTTGTTCTTTGCAAAAGCTGCTGCCTTTAAAAGTGTTTAAACAATTTGGACCCAGGTCATTTAAATGATTTGCCACTGGTTCAAGTGAAAATGATTTCAAAACTTGCCATCTCCTCCTTTTCTGCCCTCTCCTCTCCTTTCACTCTCTGAGGTACATAGCACCTCTGTCTGCATTTTCCACACTTAAGTGGTAACCACGGTAACATCCAATCCCTTGAGAGATTGGCCTAATTTAATTAGGACTCCTTTGTGTCAATTAATTAATGAGACAGAGAGGGAGACAGCAGTTGGGATGTTGAGATTGGGCAAGACACAGAATAGAGCCAGAAGGACTTTTAGTGTTTTGTAGTGCTTTTTAAGGTTTTTATTGCTCTTTTAGGACACAAGAGCAATGAAAACCTTAAAATGCATAAATAGATGTTAAAGGGATTCATTGCTTCGTCATCGTCGTCGTCTTCCTCCGCTTATCCGGGTCCGAGTCACGGGAGCAGCATCCCAACTAGGGAGCTCCAGACCGTCCTCTCCCCGGCCACCTCCACCAGCTCCTCCGGCAGGTACCCAAGGCATTCCCGGACCAGATTGGAGATGTAACCTCTCCAACATGTCCTGGGTCAACCCGGGGGCCTCCTGCCGGCAGGACATGCCCGAAACATCTTCCCAGGGAGGCGTCCAGGAGGCATCCTGACCAGATGCCCAAACCACCTCAACTGACTCCTTTCGATCCGGAGGAGCAGCGGTTCTACTCCGAGTCCCTCCCGAATGTCCGAGCTCCTCACCCAATCTGTAAGGCTGAGCCCGGCCACCCTACAGGGGAAACTCATTTCGGCAGCTTGTATCCACGATCTCGTTCTTTCGGTCATTACCCAAAGCTCATGACCATAGGTGAGGATTGGGATGTAGATCGACCGGTAAATCGAGAGCCTGGCTTTCTGGCTCAGCTCCCTCGTCACCATGACAGATCGGCTCATTGTCCGCATCACTGCAGATGCCGAACCAATCCGCCTGTCGATCTCCCGATCCCTCCTACCCTCAGTCGTGAGCAAGACCCCAAGATACTTAAACTCCTCCACTTGAGGTAGGACCTCTCCCCCGACCCGGAGTTTGCTAGCCACCCTTTTCCGGTCGAGGACCATGGTCTCAGATTTGGAGGTGCTGATCCTCATCCCAGCCACTTCACACTCAGCCGCAAACCTACCCAGCAAGAGCTGAAGGTCAGAGCTGGATGAAGCTAGGAGGACCACATCATCAGCAAAAAGCAGAGATGAGATTCTCCCGCCACCAAACTCGACACACTCCACACCACGGCTGCACCTAGAAATTCTGTCCATAAAGGTTTTGAACAGAACCGGTGACGAAGGGCAGCCCTGGCGGAGTCCAACCCTCACCGGGAACAGGTCCGACTTACTACCGGCTATGCGGACCAAACTCACGCTCCTCTGGTAAAGGGACTGAATGGCTCTTAACAGAAAGCCACCCACCCCATGCTCCTGGAGCGTCCCCCACAGGGTGCCCCTGGGGACACGGTCATAAGCCTTATCCAAATCCACAAAACCCATGTGGACTGGTTGGGCAAACTCCCATGCCCCCTCCATCACCATTGCAAGGGTATAGAGCTGGTCCACAGTTCCACGGCCAGGACGAAAACCACATTGTTCCTCCTCAATCTGAGATTCAACTATCGATCGGACCCTCCTCTCCAGTACCTTGGAGTAGACCTTTCCAGGGAGGCTGAGGAGTGTGATCCCCGTATAGTTGGAACACACCCTCAGGTCACCCTTCTTAAAGATGGGGCCACCACCCCGGTCTGCCACTCCACAGGAACTGCCCCCAATGACCACGCAATGTTGTAGAGACGTGTCAACCATGACAGCCCTACAACATCCATAGCCTTGAGATACCCAGGACAAACCTCATCCACCCTCGGGGCTCCACCGTTGTGTAGTTGTTTGACTACCTCAGCAACTTCTGCCCCCGAGATTGGACAGTCCATCCCCGGGTTTCCCAGCTCTGGTTCCTCCTCGGAATGCGCAAAAGCCCGGCCACCAGGTGCTCGCTCACGGGCCCCAACCCCAGGCCTCGCTCCAGGGTGGGACCCCGGTAACCCTCCAGGCCGGGTACTCTGACTCCTTGATTGTACATCCATGAAAGATCCTCTGAACCATTCTTTGTCTCACCCTTCCCCTAAGACCAATTTGTCATGGGAGACCCTACCAGGGGCACAAAGTGCCCCAGACAACATACCTCCTAGGATCATTAGGGCACTCAAACTCCTCCACCATGATAAGGTGACGGTTCAAGGAGGGATTCTTTGCAATTTTTTAATATTTTTAGATCATTTTCTTGTGCCAGTATGTTCTAAAATGATTCTTTACAGGGTTAATGAAAGGCCACCCAGACTCTATCGCCCCCTGTGGCCAGAATATTCCAGTTCAACTTCAGACTGGTGGGCTGCTCTGTTGGGCCAAAATTGAGCTGACATACCTGGTGCTGCATTCTGCTTCCAGCACGTTTCCTGCATGTTTTTGGTCATGAACACAGCTAATTTGTTTAATTTAGTGATGAATCACTCCTGTAGACACTAAGGAAGGCTGGGGAGACATTTCAGCTGTTTTTCTACACTGTTCTCTCTTTTGCTCCTTATTTTAAATTCCTGTTTGCTTTTTTTTACGTTTACAACCTTAGAAGTCTCTCTTGTTATTTTAGCATACACACTATGAAGGTATTCATTGTCTTTCTTTGTTTTTCACTTTCAGGAGTTCGTCTTGACAGGGTCCGTGGTGGAAGACAGAAATATAAACGCCGGATAGATGCAGACAACAGTCCGTACCTGAACCCACAACTGGCTTTGCCCCCCAAGAAGCCATGTGAGGGACACACACACACACACACACACACACACACACACACACACACACACACATCACAGGAATTGCTAGTTGTTTATATGAAATCAAAGACTGGTTCACCTCAAACTTTCTCAAACTTAACAGTGATGAAACAGAAATATTGTTGGCACTAAATCCTTACTATCCAAAATCCACAGCTTTAAACTTCCTCTCGACAACTCCTTAGTTTGCCCCTCCCCTCTGGTCAAGACTCTGGGTGTCATCCTCGACTCCTCACAATCCTTCCAGTCCCACATAAACAATATTCCCCGGTCTGCATACTTCCATCTACACAACATTAACCGCCTCCGCCCCTCCCTCTCTACTCACTCGGTCGCCATCCTTGTCCACAGCCTCATCACTTCCCGTATTGACTACTGCAACTCTTTTCTCTTCGGTCTTCCTCACAAATCCCTCTATAAACTCCAACTTCTCCAGAACTCGGCAGCCTGCATCATTACCAAAACACCCTTCTTCCACCACATCACCCCTGTTCTTCAGCAACTCCACTGGCTCTCCCAGTCACTTCCAGAATCCAATTCAAAATTATCCTATATACATTCGAAGCCATCCATAACCTAACCCCCTCCCCCCCCCCCCCCCCCCCATCTCTCTTTAAACCCAGACTCAAAACCCACCTGTTCCATCTAGAATCCCAATAATTACTCTCTTTGCTCCAATCTGTTTGTTTTATGCTGTTCTCTCTTTTATTGTTGTGTATTTTATCTCTGTCTGTAAAGTGTCCTTGAGTGTTTAGAAAGGTGCTGTTGAAATAAAATGTATTATTATTACTCTTCAAACAAAGCAAAAAA